AAAAAATGTATTTGTATAATATAATAATGTAGTATTTAATATACATATTATGAATAAACAATTACTGCCAAGTGTGTACAAATGTAATTATAAAAAATATTGTACTACAAAATGTTTAAATACATATAATATTATGATAATTCTGAAATAGCTACAGTAACAGTGCTCGCTGAACTTTTAATATGAAAATTACTTCAATAATAGTAGTATTAATTTATTTACTTTAATTACATTATATACAGTTCCTTCAACAATTAAAAAAAAAATACTATACATCTCGCGTCAACGCTTCAATCGATTCTTTTAGCGAGGCTCCAGTATTATACTTATACAACCATTTTGATGCAATATTGCTAATTGATTATATAAAGTTTTCACAAATATATCACATAAATATATCACCTTAGGTGTTTATATATTGTTTTGATAAAATGTGAAATTAGTGTAGTTTATTTATCAGTAAACTTATAACCTGGTAAAAACTTTTTCATATATATTTATACACAAATTAAAATTATTATATCTAATTATGCAAATTTATATGTGTGTGTGTGTGTGTGTGTGTGTGTGCCGAATATGTCCATACAATTTTATACATGAAAAATTTGTTACAGGGAAGTTTTACTTGTACATTTGCTACAATGATTTATTTTATTATACTACTTTACATGATGATATATAATATTATAGAATATGTTACAAGTGACATTATATATATATATGTATATATAGGTACAGACGGCGTCATTAATTCGAAGAATAGGCGCGGGGATCGGAGGGCAAGCGAGGCGGTTGCTCGTAGCGCCAACGGGCGCCGTACTAACTAACTAGTAGCAATCGGGTGTCCACAACTGGACACCCGATTTTGGGACTAATGGATATTTGGATCAACTGGATTTTTTATGTGATCCCCGCGCCTATTCTTCGAATTAATAACGCCGTCTGTACTTATATAATGTAATAAAACAATAAGTATACATGTATGTTTTCGAATAATCGGCAATCTTTGTGCAAATTAACTGTAAGTAAGTAAATACAATATAAGAAGAAAGAAAGAAAAAGAAAGTAAATAAGAAAGTAAAGACTGTAAAAAAGTAAATACAATATATAGACAATATGTAATATTACTTTTATATATAAAATATAAAATGTTTGTTTGACATGTAATAATATTGCAGTATTACGTTATAAAAAACTTATCTTTTTAAAACAAGGTAAAAAAAGTGCGCCAAGTACACGCACAACACATATTACTTTAAATTGAAATTCTAAACTCAAACACGTGCTATCTTATTAGTTTAAAAACTTAATAAATAGATCTCGTATATTCGGACAACACAACATCGAACTAAAGTTGATCTTTATTAGTAGTTTTTAAATTTCTATTATTATTATTGTATTATACACAACAAATATGTAGTTTTGTGTAGAATTCTTTGATTAAATCTCGTACAATTTTAGTCTGTGCAACATGACATCAAAATCTATATTGTTCGAAATAAAACCCAAAGAGACTGCGGTTGATTCGGTATTAATACAAGAATCACAAAACCAACAATACAAATGGAACATTATGTGGAGAAACGTCTTTATTTTTTTGTACATTCATTTCATTTGTATTTATGTTTTCGTACATATTGCAAGACTAAACAAGTGGACAGTTCTCTGGTGTAAGTACCTTTTTCACTTCTTTGTTTGTAATAACATTATGAAAGATATCAGTTTTCTAAGAAAATTATAATATTTGCGCAAAGAGTTTGTCATTTTGACAATGTGTCTGCAAATGCGAGTCGTCGCAATTTACGTATTTTGATACAATGAAAATACGACTTAAATACACTATTACGTTCAGAAAAATACACAATTACGTTCAGAAAAAAAGTTGCATATTGACTGAGATATTATTACTTATGGTAAGACTATTTTACAAAAAACACAAGAAATAATCTTCTTAATCGGTGTGCGATAGTTTATTTCGTTGGCTACATTTCCGGGATCGGTACTACCGCAGGCGCTCATAGATTATGGTGTCATCGTGCGTACAAAGCGAAATGGCCGCTGCGATTGATCCTGATAATTTTACAAACTGTTAGCTGTCAAGTAAGTTTTGCATTATTCACGTGTTCACTTATTTGTATTATTATTTTTTTTTTCTTTCGTGATAACTCTCGTGTCTCGTTAATTCTTTCCTGTCTTAACTACAGTTGACTCATAAAAGCTTTTTGCGTAATGAATCACATTAATTATTCTCGATTTGACTGAATTATTTATTTTTTAGGGTAACATTTATCACTGGTCCAGGGATCACAGATTGCATCACAAATTCACCGACACCGACGCGGATCCGTACAACGCGCGCAGAAGAGTCTTTTTTTCACATATGGGTTGGCTTATGATACGCAAGCATCCGGACGTCAAAACAAATGGCGCACTTATTGATTGCAGTGATCTCAAACGCGATTCTTTTGTGGCTTTTCAGATTAAGTATGAGACTTATACATATAACCCACATGTCAATGTATCTTATAGTGCCCGAGTTTTTATCTTTGTTTACAGATACTATTTTTTTCTAATATTTGTGTTTGGTATCGTCGTGCCAACGATGGTGCCCTGGCTGGCGTGGAATGAATCTCTGTGGTACTCGTGGGCCGCAAATGTTACTAGATTTTGCGTCAGTCTTCATTGTACTTAGTTAGTGAACTCGGCGGCTCACATTTGGGGAATGAAACCATATGACAAGTAACGTATCCGTAATAGTTTTTCCTCTTTTTGCGCGAACATAAGTTAGCGCAACCTCCTTAGCGCCAGTAAAAATAATCGGCGATTTTAGTATATGAAAATTAATTCTAATTCTAATGTATCAACTAATGTAGTGCATATATGTCATCTTTGTTGCGCAGATTTATTTTTCCTACTGAAAACACGATTGTCGCAATTCTGACTGGCGGCGAAGGCTGGCACAATTATCACCACATCTTTCCTTGGGATTACAAAGCAGCGGAGCTTGGAAATTACTCGCTGAATATAACCACAGCTTTTATTGACTTCTTCGCTCTTCTAGGGTGGGCTTACGACTTGAAAACTGCATCTCCCGACATAGTGAAAAAACGTGTCCTCCGAAATAGCAAANAAACTAAGTAATAGCAGAAATAGCAACTTATATTGAATAAGATAGTAGATATATGAGTTCAGAAGTTTATCTTGATATATGTATATGTGTGTATATGCAACTAAATATTATGGTATATGTATAAATGGTATAGGTATAAATAAAACAATAAATCTGAACTTTTATAGTATGGGATAAACAACTCTTATATGATGTGTACATTTTTTAAGAATTCTCGTTCACTTTAAAATAACATTGAAAACTATAGTGTTCACATAGTGAAAGTAAACTATTTCTAGATGTGAAGTGTATAATAAACCAATGAAGAATTTATGTTTCAAACTCACACAGAACAAAACACTCTAATGGACATCTATTAGACATCCATAATGGAAATTGAAAACATCTAATGGACGTCCACGTTATCTCTTATGGATATCTTTGGATGAGGCAATTATGTGAGAAGACGGCGAGGTAGTGATGGCAGCGAGGATCGTGGATGTGATAGGCGTGTATTACAAGTTCTTTCTATAATGGAAAGAAGACTTTTATTTTACACTATGTACAAGATGTATTTTTGGGTTTTTATAAGAAAGGGCCCTGAAAAGGGCCGTTTGGTGTTGGCCCTGAAAAGAGCCTTTTATTAGGCTTTCTCCTTCCAGAAAATGCGGGGCCTAATCGTGGTTAGCCGCCAGTCGGTGCCCTAGAACCGCTGCGGCGTGAACGACGAAGATCCTCGGTCGCTCGTTTGGACGGCTGCTTCCGTTGTTGAAGCCGGGCGTGTGTCCTCCGCCTGGCAGACCCGTTCTACGGTGGAGGGTTTCGTTTCTCGTTTCCTGGCCCTCTGTCGAGCCCTGGTCTGGGTGCCGCAGTCGACTTTGTCCACTTGCGTCTGCGTAGACACACTTAGCTGCCGTGGGGTGTAGGATGGTGTCAGCGGTCGGTCCTAGGCGATCGGCCTGCTTGGAGGTGAAGTTCGGAGAGGAGGAAGATCGATGGGTATCAGGCGCCACGGCAGGAACTGTTCTACCTTTGGGAGCTTTTCAGACCCGAGTGTTCGGGGTCGCTCG